GCTTTGTGGATGATGTGTATGACTACCACCTAACTACAGTGTTTTCAGAATTTTTCTTCATGTGACATTACTATGGTTCAGGCTTTTAAAGGCACTTTTACAGGGAGGAAAAAGGAGTACAAGGACCTTGCTTGGAGTTTCTAAGCAGCCGTAAAGAATGACTGTGTCAAAGTCCCTCAGGTCAGACCTCCCTCTGTAATACAACCGTCTCAAGATATTCCCTCCATCACTGATGTTGGTCTAACTATTTCCCTCTAACTATGGCTCAAAGGCTAGTGGGGAGCAAGTGAAACCCAAGTCTAAGAGGCCAGCAAAACTTCAGCAGTGCTTATACTTCCCGACAAGATGGACGAGCAAAGGAGGTCCTTGCCATGGTACAACCGCTTTAATCTTCAAGGCTTTTTTCCCCCACCTGTGAAGACTGAGGCCCTATGGTTCAGCATGCATATAGCAAGGTTCATCCCACCATGCCTACAGCTCCTTTATCTCTCAGTACATTGCCTATCACCAGAGCAGCTGAATAATTTATGCATAAATTCAATCAATCTTCCACCACTTCTTTTCAGCTTCACAACTCTATTTAGCTGTGGTTTGCAGGAAAAGCAGAACACTGAGAGAGATGTCCTTCAAGTGAGTCCGTGGCAGAAGACCACTGAAGTTAATGAGACTCTAGTGGAGATAAGGATTTTGTCCATTCAGAAGCTTCAGAAACTACGTAAGGCAGGCTGAGGCTGGGAAAAGGATGTATTTCTCTGCCTTGTTTGCAGATAAGGAAGCGAGATTCCAAGGGGAATGAGTGATTTACCCACAGTCACACAGGAAATCAGCAAGAGATATGGAAATTAATGCTGAGAAGCATTTCAGTGCCTTAATCATAAAGCCAATCTTTCCCTCAAATGCCAACAGCATTAAATGCTCCTTTTCAATAATGGAATAAGCGTAAGAGTTTCACTGACTTACAGTTACGTTCCATCAAAAAATTTTATAGGGTAGCCAGTTCAAGTTAAAATGGTTGGTCAGTATTATGACCTACATCCAACTTAGGGACCAGGGATTGTAGTAGAACTGAGCAAGTTAACCTGTGAGATTCCTTTGAGGATCAAGTCACACTAAGGTCGGAAAATGCGAGGTCAAAAAGTAACAGGTGTGTTTCATTATATTTACCACTAATTAGGTAGGCTTTGAAAAATGTGGACTGAAATATTCTCTTGCTGGGAAGCTATTAAGCTGTTAGGTTGAGGGAATATATGGCTTAGAATAGGAAAGATTTACATCTCTTGCCTACAAATAAATCACGTGTACATCCTCTGTCTATTTGACCATCTCTGAGTAGTATTTATATCAATGTGATATCTAGGTAGCTGCTTGGATAAGCACATTTTGTATAAATACATAATAGGCTGTGCCAAAGTCTGTTTTTATTTAAACTAGCTTCAATTCATTGTGTCTTAATTGAAAATAATGGTGTTACGGCAGTGATCAAAGAACTATCTCATTAATTGTCTATTAAATCATTAGCTATTAAACAGAAATAAAAGGTTAAGAATGCAACATTCTCTGTTCTGCCCAGAAGAATATGAATATCTCTCCAATTACAAAGAAACAATAAAGACAGAATTAACAGTGAAAAGAAGCTTAAGATTAGGCAATTACATCCAAAATGCCTGACAACTCTTATTAGAGGGTTTAGCAGTACGACCTATATAGAAAAGGCAACACAAATTTGGAAGCAAAGTCAATATTGACTTTACCAAAGGGGCTTGTAAAGGAAATATGCATTTTTCTGAAAAAATATAGGCACATAAACCCTGTACTAAATTTTAACTCAACTACTTAATTGTTATGGATTCAATCTTGCAACCAATACATATATTTCCAGTTAAAAAAATATGCCTGAACAGCATTCAGTCTGAGAACACCTCTCAGTAATTTGTGACTGAAATCAATTATAAGGATGCTGCGATTTTCACAAAAATAACATTACTCCCATTTTATACCACCAGGATGAGGCAAGATGACCTCAGTGAAGAGCACATTCAGACCTGTTGGTTTTGTTCGTTAAGTCAGTATAGTAATGCACCAGGTCTGGGAATTTTGTCAGTGATTTGATACTCAAATAATTTCACAAAACAGTCAAATGAAGACCTGATTTATACTCAACTTAGTCCCTACCAAAAAAAGGGGGAATTACAGTACAAATCTTGTAAAACCTCTGCAGAATTTTGGCTTGTGTTTTGGTCTGTTCTGTCCAGATCACTGAAAGAATGGGAGGACAGTCATCAACTTGAAGGTGCTTTGGAGCAGCTCTAATTCCACCTAGAAATACAACATGTTTTGAAAAAACAAGAAAGGAAGATGGTCAAAGGGCAAAAGCTCTGCTTTCTTCAAGTGTATAAATTTACAACTGGAAATAAATCTTTTCTCTGGTCACAGCCTTATTGTCAAGCGTTATTTAGTTGCCAGCTTCAGTGGACCTTCTAAATTTGGGAACCAGAACAACTTCATGCCTAGCTTTGACAGGATATCCATATGGACAACTGCTGATTGAACTAAATGGACTTTAAACAGGCAGTGTTTTGAAATGCAACATCTCCCTAACTTCTGCAGATACTAGTTTTATTAGTGGAAGAGGAATGGGAGTCCTTTTCCTGACCTTTTCTTATCAGGTTCAGTCCAGTATTCTCTAAATACAGCAAGTCCTAGAAACACTAGAAACTCAATTAATAGAAACAAAAGTCCACATATACCATCTTTTAGATCTGGATTTTTTTTTTCTGAAGTGCAAGAAAATACAGTGTTGGCACTATGTTTATGATATGGTGCTTCAGTTTAGAATATGAACAATTAATTGTGAACTGATAAATAATAGGCACTAATCAAGAAAACAGCTGTATGGTACACAGCCAAAAAAATGAGCACAATTTATCAAGAGAGTCTGTTCCGTTAACAATTAAGTTAGTCATAAACAAAGATACTCATTCATGTTCCTTCTGGTAAGGACTTTAATGGCAATTTGGTTTCCAGAAAAAGAAACTGTGATTTTTTCTTTTCCCATCTGATATATACAAGTGAAAATATAGAAGCTAGAGCACAGACTAGAGACTCAAGAGACCTATTCCATCACTGGCTGAGGCTAAACACCAGAACAGTCATTTTCCTGAAAAGGGAGTATTCCACTGATGTCCTTTGCAAAATGCTTTGAGGTCTGAAAACTGCTAGGCATTGTTATTGTGTAACTAAGCCCTGAGCTATCAACTTCTCTGGGGATACAACTGCACATATGCCTCTGCCCAATAATCTGAATCTTATTTATGAATTATTTGCCTTCATGATAAATAAATCTTAATGAAAAAAGTTGGAAGCAAGTAGAGGTTGCCTGACTAAGGCTTTTGCCCAAACCCATCTTGCCTTTCCTATAGCTACCTAGGATGAAATGGATGTCGTCTTTCACCTACCTACAGGTCTCAGGAAGAGGAAATCTCTACAAAATATACAGTTGCTCTGTAAGCTCTTCAATGGCAAAGGAATTTCTTTGTCATTGGACATAAAATGCAATGAAATTATCTTTATTTTAAAGGAAGTAACTTATTCAAAAACTTTGTAACAAGCTCAGGGTTATCAAAAGTAAGACAGTGAGGTTTTTTTCCAGCATATCATCTTCAAAATAAATAGCTTTGCTGTGTGCAATTCTTTACCCAGCTAAACAACATGAAAATTTATCTGACAAAGTACAAGCTAGCTATTAGGACCTTTGCAGTCTTTTCTACAAAGAGGTTGTTATAATAATAAGTTAAAACTGCACAGGTATAGGATGTGGGTTTCAAATGCAATCTGAAGAGAACTTGTAAGAGTGCTCAGGTCTGGAGCAGATTCACACATGACACGATAGCTAGAATATGAGGAGGAATTTGTTTCTTGAAAGCTGCAGGGAGAGTTTGTAAGATGATCTACAGGTTACAGAATTACTATATGTAAAAAGCATGACTACACTACCATTTTTTTACTGATTTTATATATAATATCCAGCACTTTCCTGGAACTGAGACAAAGGAACTATCTTTCTACAACTACCTTAAGAAACTCATATATAATACAAAACTCCCCCACCCCTATACAGAATTCATTGTAGTAATCCTTAAGTTCATCTAAAATGAGGAAAACCAGCCCCAAACCACACAATAAAACAAATAAACCTATTAAAGATATTCAAAAATATCTCTTTTATGCCTAAAAATAATAATGAGCTAAAAGCTGAAAGCCATGCAATGGTGTCAGAAGTCAGACACTCAGTATCTCGATCAAGTCACATTAACGCTATTTTCATCTCAATGTCAGGGAGGGAGAACCAGTTGAACACATTATTTAAAAAAAACCAACAAAACACAAGATTGTTTAAAAGCTCCCAGCTCTCGTTTTAAGAATATTTGCAATATGGTTGTTATTTTTTATCTTCTGTTGTGCTCCTCCAGGTTTTAGTACAATTCAGTATCTTTACATGTAAGAAATTCCTGACTGGAAAGCAGGTGATGCAGTCAGAAGCATGCAGGAAACCTTGCTGTACACTGTTACAAAATACTGCATCATTACTATTAAAAAATGCATGCAGAAAAGCCACACAAGAACAAAGATCCCTATGTGTGGAGTTGACTTTTCCCAAGTGGGATGTATCACACAACACATTCTTTCTCATCGTAACTGGCTGAACAGCGAAGACAGACTAGGACTGCTCTTTCAGCACCCCTGACACTCTTCTGCCACATCATACGGAACACACCAGCACAAATGGGTCCACATCAGCCTATGCAAATGTGCTAACCCTTCGTAACCTCTGGAGACCACTTTCTCATCGCACAGTAGAAACAACCCGCCACTGCAGAAAGAGCTATGACTATAAAACGACTGGACCATGTGAAATCCTGAATGTGAGCTAGGTCACAATATGGTGGTGGTGGAGGAGAAATGGTGAAAACTCCATTCTCCACCTCATGTGGGTGCCTTACCTTTATGACATCTTCATCAGCTGATTTGCACTCGCTGGAGTCCGAAACATCGACCACGGACCCATCCTCCTGCACGGCAACTACCTTGACTGGAACAGACACCGTTTTGCCCGTCAGAATGGCCGTGTTAAGGACTTCCGTGTCCTGTATGCACACATACACAAACAAGGGATGGGCGTTAGAGAAGCATAAAACCACGAGAATGCCACAGGGGTCAAAAAACTGATGAACCAAAACCCTGCCTCTGACAGGGACGGGGCAGCGGAGCGACCCTTCCTTGCACACACCCTTCGAGCTCCCTGCAGTCAATGGTTTAGCAACTTTCTAAGTCAAAAGTTGCAGCTGGTCCATCAAGTTCTGGTTTTGACAAATATGTGGATTTACTCTTTTTGAGCTCATTTACAGGTTTGGCTGCTGTGGCAATGAAATCAGTAACGCAATTACGTGCGAAGGCACATCTGCAGCTTGGCAGAACCACGACGCTATTCGGGTGCAATCTCCAGAGTGCCAGTGACTCTCCCCACCCTTTTGCCCCAGATCGTGCCAGTAATTTGGGAAGTGATTATCAAGCATTACAGTAACAGCATTTCCTTCTTACTGTTCCAACTAACAGTGTTGAAAGTTGACCATTTTCCCATTTCAGGACATAAATACATGATGAGAAAAACTATGCATGAGGTAGAGTATTACAAACTAAGTAATGCCTCCTTAGAAAATTTTTTTCATCTTTCCCCATCAAAATCCCACCTAGAGATGTTTTACCACATTTATCTCTCTAATCCTGATGAATTCATGGGGCTGGCACTCTAAATGACTCTATTAACACAGCCTTCCTCTGTGTCTCAGTATGGCTGCGGTTTGATTAATTACTCCAAATGAGTTGCTATAGAGGTCCCTGCCTTGCGTAAGCACGTACGCAGACTGGAGGGGAACAGCCTCCGAAGGCCTGGAGAGCAGCTTGTCTCTGCTTAAGCACTGCTTACTGCAGGCCCACAACTTGACACACATGCGGGGCAAGGAACGATCTGTGCTGTCGTAGGGATTCAGTTTGGCCTTCTCGAAAAGCCTGCAATAGGAAATACTGCTTCAAATCAATCCACTTTCCATTTTTCAACTTCCATAAAACTAATTGCTTGCCAGCTGGGGAAAAAAAAAAAGTTGCTTCCAACTAATCTAACTTTAAATTCCATTATTAGAATTGGTGGGAGAAGAAATGGATTTTAGTGAAAAATTTGATGGCAGCTTGCATAGGGAGATATATTCAGTATCATTTGCTTCTGTCTGCTAGCTAGATTGATAGAAAATAATGGGCATTGACCACAAGCTAAGGACAGCTGGAGAACACCAATAAATACTTGCAACTAAGATGTATTATTAATCAATATTCGGAAACTTCTACAAAAAGCACCCTGAATTAAATGAGTTGAAGTACTAATAACACTAGTGCCAGCTAACTAATACAGTCTACTAGAGCTTTATGGGCAGTCGTGTTCCAGAAAAGCATTTAAGCATGTACTCGAGTCCATTTCTGTTCAGAACAGCACTAAAAGTACGTGCTCAACTTGACACTTAGACTTCAATGTGATTTAAGTGTGCGTTTAAGTGTTGTCCTGAATAGAGATGCTTTTCTGAGTAATATCTCATGAAATAAATATACTGTCTTTGTTCTGTTCTCTGTGAGGCACAAACCAGATGTTTTACACAGCAAATGACTGTCTAGTTTTTGTTTATGCTGAATGGGCTCATTTATAACCAGCTGCCATCCATGAGGGAGGGACACTGGGAAAGAGAAGTATGTTTCAAAGGTGGAAATGTGAAAGAACAACCATAAAACCTTTACAAAGACTGAGGTTTGAACAAAACTAAGAAGAAAATGCACTGCCAGGCGAAAGAAAACAATTAGATGCACCTCAGGCGGAAAGAGGTTGTGTTAGACAGACAAAGAGAAACTGAGGGTGCTTCATCCACAAGTATGTCAGAGAAGAGATAGTCAGATTTCACCAAGCCAACAGCAAATATCCCACAAATCCTAAGCCATCAATCCAGTATAAACTTATGCCAGATATATGATGAAGACAGAGTGGTCCTGTGTCAAAACACTCGCAAGAAGCAGTTTGCCAGCATGCTACTTGTAAGCTATTCTGCAACAACAGTCGTCTTCAGTGCATCAGGGGAAACAGTACTTTTGCCAAGGTCACAAACAACGAACATGTGACTAATTCTACATCCAAACCGACTCTGTTAGCACAGTCACGTAACTCCTACATGTCAGGGGCAGGCGGCACTTGTATGCAATTATGGTCTGATGCAAAGCCCTATTGAGCCATAAATGAAAGGCCTCTTTTGACTTGAGTGGACTTGGAATGAGGTTCTCAACAGGCTTGAACTAATTTCTCCTTTGGTTTTTGCACTGTTCATTGTATCACCCTCGTGTTGACCCCCATGTGTGACAAAGGATAAACAAAACTTCTAGCCTCCTTTTAACTCTAAGTGCTGCTTAGCTACCAAGCTGAAGCCAGACTTTGATGCTCTGAAGGATAATGCAAATTTCATAAAGACATTTGCATTCCTTGCATAAAGTCCCTGTGAAGATGAGCATGAGAGAAAAGGTTTTAGAAGGGACACTTCGCAACCCCGCTATTGGTAGGTGCTCTGAAATACGCTCATCCTGCTCTTGACACAAGCACTGTCCTGAACCTTCCCTCCTTCCCAGCGTGTACAGGTACCCACTGTGCTAATTAGCTGGTGCTGCTTCACAAAAACTACACTTCACTGCTAAGCAGTTCTACTATATAAATCAATATTTCAGATGCCTGATGCCTGGATTAAGTTACACAAGTATAACAGGTTGCGTAAAGACCTTTTTTAAGAGCTGGCTATTCATAGACTGAAAAAGCATATTTCCTCTGAGGAAGAAATATGAAGGCAGAACTGAACTAACTGACTGTCCATTAGATTTATAAACAAACTTCTTTTTTAGTGCATCTTCAACAAGTAATCACATTAAATCCAGATTGTGTTAGGCTTGTTTTATATTTCCATGGTAGGAAATACTGCAGAAAATAAGTGTTACTGAATTTAAGATACCTGTGCTAGTTATTAGTAAAGCATCTGAAATGTCGAGAGTGGTAATAATGTTGATTCACATGGGCAGGTCCTCATGTGTGGCACAGCGTCAGTGAAACATCTGGAACAACATCCAGGGACCACCAGCACAAACTTCTAACTGCTGACCCTGCAAGGTCCCAGGTGAAAAACTGGGAACCCCTTCCTATTTCTTTTGTCAAGGGTTTCAGCTGCACGATCTTGACCAAAACCTTCAATTCAAACAGCCTGGATGGAAGTTACACGTTCATTTTGCAGGCTTTATCCCTGAATAGTAATTATGTGCATGTTTATCTCCAGCTCCTTCTCTGTACCTGAATGCATTAGCACTTCAGCAGAGCTCTTCTTAATTACAACTGTAACCTGCTAATAGCATTTCTTTGTTGTCTGAAGGAATCTACTTCTTATCCAGCCTAGGCTAAATTAAAATTTAATACAACATCAGGTCGCAGCAGAACTAGGAAGCAAATGACAGCTGTTTAATTAAAACCTAAAGCTGATTAGATGGCACTACTGAGAGAAATACTCAAGAGGAAGAGCAGAAAACTACTGAAACTCAAGGCCGGGATAATGGCTTTATTTAAATATGAATACACCCTGTGCATAGCCGTAGTAAATGTTTGACAACTCATTGCTTTGGACAAATGGGGGGAAAACGTGAATGGGAGACGTGTCAAGAGTCATGATAGAGCTGTGATTACCAACACTGCTGTTACCTATGTACGTGACCAGAAGCAGGGATTACTGAGGAACGACTACAACAGGTAGAGGCAAACCAACTGAGAAACTCCAGCCACAAAATTCGCAATGATTAGCCTTTAAACACCACCACACTAAATGTCTAAATCCTCCTTAGGCATTTGACTCTGCAGCAGCTCACCCAGCTACTGTAAGAAAACATGACACAGTTTTTCCTCCTCTTCTGGTTAAAAATTAGAGCCATGGAGAAGCAGATTATGCATCTCACAAGAAAGTATCTGGGGAGCCAGGAGCTGGACACAGCGTTACCTAGACCCCAGCCCAAAGCTGCCAGCGCATCTTTCCTGCCCCTTCCGGAGCAGCTGGCATCCTTTCCATGAAGTCTGGTGGGGCACAGAAGCCCCACACCAACCCAGTTTACCGTGACGTCCTTGTGATTAATGCACAAGCTGGATGTGTTTTTTTAGAGGTTAACAAAACATGCTACAGTACAGTAAACCCCATAAACACTCAGTTGTAAATCAGAAGGGAAACCTAAAGCCAACCCTATTCCACTGACAAACGCTACAGCTAAATGCCTTTTGGCATTTAGTTGAAATGACTGTCTTTAGTGAAGAAGGCATAGAGCTGAAGACGACATTTGTCTGCAGAATTGCATTCCTTCATTATTATTTTTCTCCCCAGAGTGTACCTCACGAAAATACATTTGTAGTATTAGGAGGAATATTTAGGAACCAGTTCTCCTGCTTGGAAAAGGCATCTCTTAAAAAAAAGTAAATTATAGGGCAGATTGTGATGTGTGAGCTGGGCTAGGGGAGGGGTTTTATTTGATAAATTATTCACCACCTTCTTCTTTAAATCAAAGAGCAAGGCAATAGAAGTCCATTAAGCAAGCTAATATATAAATTAGATGCTTTGCTGAAATTATTATAATCCAAAGCAATTCTGTATTTTTTTCCCCCCTCATAGCTGAATACCATTTTAGGTTTACAATACATATTAATGAAGCCTGGTTGCTAGAAAGCTCTTTATATTTTCCACCATTATATCAGGTAAGATATACTATTTTGTCACCCAATGGTGAGAATGAACAAGTAGGATTATGTGTTTATGAAACATTGGAAAATACAAATGATCTTGCAAAGAGCTCCCGTTGTTCTTTGACCCTTATTCGTCTCTACATTCATGCAGTCAGTTCACTTCATGCCCAGGAGCCAGACCTCACAGTAATGCTAGCAGGAGTGCCGCTAGCTGCTTTGGCAGATGGCTGATCAGTCGTTATTCCTGCCTGCCCAGGACTTGCCTCAAGTCCACAGAGGCTGTGATTGTGAAAGGGGTTA